ATAGATAGATAGATAGATAGATAGATAGATAGATAGATAGATAGATAGATAGATAGATAGATAGATAGATAGATAGATAGATAGATCATATAAGTTGATGCCTCTTAACTCTTAATTAATCATCACACAATTACACAAATACTCCAGCATTAAGTGCTATTTAATGTTAATTAAATGTTTCTTTATGTCCTACATCATTGAAGGACCAATCAATTCCATAGCAACAATTTAATTTTTCTAAACTATATACAGTGTCTCGGGAATTGTTTTGATGATTACAGTACATTTGTAGCAATCCAGAGTTTGACAGGGGGACGCCCAACCACACTTTAACGCTCATTACCCGTCTTCTCGTTCGATTCCTGGCCTCTCGCGAGACCTGCTATCAGTCTCTGTGGCGCAATCGGTTAGCGCGTTCGGCTGTTAACCGAAAGGTTGGTGGTTCGAGCCCACCCAGGGACGGGCAAAGTTTTCTTTGTGATTGACCATGCAAGTAGCTACACTAATCATCAAGGAAATTATACACATAGGACAAAAGAGGCAAAGATAAATAGCACATATGGTAAAACCTACCAAAATTCTACATTATATAATAGAATATTCATTTATTGTCCCACAATGGGGGAATTGTGGCGTTACAGCAGCAGAAAAAGCTTACAGCAGAAGTTTTCCACAAGGTTGTTTTGTTCTAAGTTGTTTTCCAACTGATTGCGCCACAAAGACCCTGAAGCTCCTACATCAAAACCAGTCAAATTAGCTTACAACTTACCTATCACAGCATTACATAGTATATGTTTATTTGGACCTATTTATTTCAACTCTAACTAAACTACCCCTGCTCTTATATACTAACAAGAATAGCAAAAATTAAAGGTATAAAGGATGATCTTTTATTTCCGGGTGGATCATCTCAATAAGTGGTCCTCCTAATTGTCAATCACTCTGGTGATATGTTTATGTAAGGCCGTCCAAGTGCTCGTTTAGTTAGCTACGTCACAAAAATTGCTGCAACTGTATTTTCATTTTCTTAAAATAAAAATGTAGATGTATTTAATATTTTCAGATCACCCATTCAATTCAAATGAAATGAAAAATGTTATTGATTACATGTTGCATAAGGTGACCAGATTTCTGAAATCAAATCAGGGGACATTTCCAGCTCGTAGATAAAAAGAAATACATATAATCAAAATTAAAATCAAAACTGGAACAGTGTGCTTTAATCCATCTTTACATATTTAAAAAACACAGGTTAAAATCCATGAATGTGCTTCTCCATACTCTTAGTATTTCCTAAGATTAATCACATTAATCAGTCAATAGTGTCACCAGTCATAACAACATGTTTTATTGAATTGGGTTCCCTTAGTTAAAGTTATTAGGTTGTTTTTTTATTAGTTCAGAGACACATTTACTGATGTCATGACAAATTAGTTTATTTAATTTTGGCCCTTTTCAAACTAAATTGTTTTCACAAAGAACTGTTTAATATCTAGGAGAGAAAAGATTATTAAAAACTGAGCGTCCCAGGTGGGCCTCGAACCAACAACCTTTCGGATGCCAGCAGCATTTGGCTGAGCGCCATGCTTCGCTCTGATTGGCTGACGTCCATTGTGCAGTAGAACATTGATTGGATGGTCCATTGTTAGATGGAGAGGGATTGGCTGTTTCATTCGTACCTGATGACTAACAGGATCAATAGGTAGATGAGGGTTCGACCCCCATCCAGGATTGTTTGTATTTTACTTCTTTTATTTTCAGCAAATTAAATCCTTAAGGTGCATGAATAATAAACAATAATCAACAACAGTCAAACACTTTTATTCTAACTGTCTAGCAACAAAGAGCAGGGGGAAAACCTGCTAGACAAAATAGAATTTTATGTTATTATCAATTCACGACAGTTTAAAAAACTTTTTATGAAAAAAGCTTCCTAACAAGTAAATGCATGTCTGTAACCAGTAGTAGATAATCCAGATTCAGAAAGTAAAAAGCTGATTCAGAGAGCAGTTCCAGTCATTTTAATTTCCAGCTCCTTTAATTTAATTTGTCCAATAATGTCATATTTAAATATGAAATCCCAAGCTATGTACAGTTACTAGGCTTAGTAACCAATCAATAATCAATAATCAGTCAAAGTGAGTAGTGCAAGATGCATATAAAGAGTTGTTACAATAGTAACAGTCAGGAGTGCCAGTGAACTTTACAGTCTTTAAAAAAAAAAAAAAAACAGAATAGCAAAATGGTGGTAGGTGTGAGGAAGGAGAGTAGAGTTCATCAGTGAGGGTTAGAGTTCAGTAAACAGACAACTCTGGGGAAAAAGCTGTTCTTTATGTATATGTTTACACCTTTTCTGTAGACATTTTCACTTTCTGTAGACATTTTCTTGCTATGTGCCCTTTTGTCCCACATTTATAGCATGTCACATCCTCATTTTTCTTGTTGCTTGTGTGCTGTTTAGTGTAACTTTTATGCTGTTTTGTACACGTTTTTATAACATTGTCAGTTGATTCTTCTGTTTCTTCTGTTGTTCTTCTGTTCTGTTCATTCTTAAAGCTATAATGATGTTCTCAGTTCTTATAATATAGTCTGTAACACTCTTTGTGCTTGCCATGTGCAGCTTCATCAGTGATGTATATATTAATTATTCGAGGCTTACTTTTCCCAGAATAATGTTCTCTTAGAATTTTGAGAGCTTTCCTACCGTTGTCTCCAGCTTCATGTCTTATCAGGGCAAGGCTTTTATCATCCAGCACTTTAACTAATTCTGCATAACAGTCTGCATTTTTTCGTCTATCTTCATCTAGTAGTCCTTCATCTTTGGTGGTGGGCTCATGTAGGATAGTTTCTTTCAGCTTCAGACCATGCAGGTTGGGAAGGAATCTTGTCTCCCATTAGTCGTATTTTTCCTCACATCCACTAAAGAACAGTGAGGATACAGAGATATTTGCTCCTCTGTTCATCATCTTCTCTTAATTTATTGCTCGTTATCTTTCTTTGCTGCTAACTTAGCTCACTGGCGTTGTTATGCTAATTTCCCATGCACAGCTTCATCTCGTCACTCCTTCACGTTTAAACTTCTTTTGAGTAGCTTAATCTATGTTTATTTCCATCTCCCCTGGGCCCATAACCTGTTGAGGTTGATTGCAGTAGTAGGACAGCACTCCTCGTGTGGATGGATAATAACGAAGCACTCGAATTATCTTTACGCGGATGTCGCCATATTTATTTGAACTTCTACGGTTCTGCTCAAGGCCGTCCCGGAATAAGCTAGAACACAGCTGCAAACATTGCGGAAACGGAAATACACACGTTAACAAAATAAGAGTTTAAGAGCGTTTAAACAATATACTTAACAAAGTGTGATAGCTTTGAACATACACCACATAACAGGCTTACATTGGAAGGCCACAGTAAGCTTTTAGTTAGATATTGGATATTTCAGTTCCTTTGATTTGTCAGGATCTAGCTCACTGTTGATGCGAATAAAGATCACTGCGTCAATTTAAGCCTCCATTTTTGGTAAACATGAACCCGGATGACTGAGAACGTACAAAGAAACAGTATGCCACGAACTTTTGCAATATAGTACACAAAACCAAAATGGTTGCAAAGCCGAAGAGCTAGCAATAAAATTAGTGAATTGAGGAAAATACTTAACAGACTAATGAAACAGCTATCCCGCTCCGTATAACAATGGACCATCCAATCTGCGTTCTAATGCACAATGGACGTCAGCCAATCAGTGCGGAGCATGGAGCTCAGCCAAACACTGTTGGCATTCGAAAGGTTGGTGGTTCGAAGCACGCCCGGGACGCTCAGTTTTTAAATAAGCTTTTTCTACTAGATATATAATAGCTCTTTGTAAAAATTCTTGGGGTTCAAAAGGACCAAAATTAAATAAACGAATTTATTTTTAAACTGCTACATACACAATGTACTTTGTAGATAGATAGAT